GGGGGTGAGGCAGGGGGAGAGGGTTAAGCACAGACTGTAAAACCAGGTGCCTTGTTGTGCCACAGAGCGAGCGATCAGACGCCCATGACATCTTAACTGCACTTTATCTTAACTGCCCCTAAACCGCCATCATTTCACTGCGAAAGCCCTCGCCGAAGCCGCCGGCGCGTTAGCTGGAAGGCTACGTCAATTAAATCCTTCCCCAGAGGACATGTGCTGCTTATTTGTGAGATTTCTCTAAACAGGGGTTTCCTGCAGATCCATGACTTAAGACGCGCTCCACACAAGCTTGTTTTGTTTTAACGAGCTTTTCACAAACACTGAACTCTTTCTTTTCTCGCTCAGCGTAGGTCAAATGAACAAAATAGCTCAGTAAATCCTTAAAGCAACAATAAATACTCAGGCTTAAAATTGCCAGGTTACGTCATTTAGCTTGAAAAAAAAAGAAAAGAAAAAAAACCCAAGACAAACCAAACCTCCTCTGTACGTGGATATCTTAATATACTCACAGTTTTGGGTATATTAATGGTGTGTGTGAAAATACTATATATATATACTGTGTACTCTAAAGGTACTACATGTTTACTTTAACATGTACTTTAACAAGGTATTAAGTATTCATTACTGGGAGTCAGATATTTCATCTGTTTGTCTTCCTCATTAACTATTGCATCAAAAAGGTCTCGGAAAAATCTCACACAGTTCTTGAGTTATATTTAACGCAGTAAGTCTTCAAAATCCACACCCAAATCTCTCTCTCTCTCTCTCTCGTCAAATTAAGTCCTGAAATTTTGCCCAAATCCACAATCCAAACCAAGGTTTTGGCAAATCGGTGAAGTCAAACTTCCCGTCATTCAGACGTAAATCAGTGTTTGGTTTTTTTTCTGTGTCACCACAGCTTCTTCTCACGAATCCAATAGTTGGGGACAATCTATCACTATCCTGCAAACTGAACGGTAACTAAGACGGCGACTAAAGCTCCAGTAGGCAGTGATCGATGGTGCAGAATTACCAGAACTTTCTGTAACCCTCTCTAACGGCCGAGAACACGCCGGCTCCAGGCCAAGAGACACAAACTCTGTCAGAGAGTTCAGCCTGTGCATTGTTTAAGTTCCATCAACCTAACACACTGTGACGTGGCTACACTGTGGCTGTGTGTAGATTTATGTGCCTGCGAGGAGAACATGTCATTATTTTAAGCGCCCCCTGGAGGTTTGTCAACTGATTGGAGCCAATCCAAAGTTATCGTAAAGTAAAACCTAGAAATGAACAAGGACAAATACTTTGAGAATTCCATCAGTAAATCTGATCTGGATTTTCACATTCCGTTGGAAAATAGCGGCCTGTTCCTCCTTCACATTGAATTCGTTTTTTCATTGACGGCAGAGAAACACGGCAGACGGTGTATTTACACGGACAGTTCAGGTCACTGTCCTTGTCTCAGTACGGAACGAAGGCATTTATGTTTTTAGTCCAAGTCCAACAAATGAAAAGGTAAACTATGCAAATAGTTGGCCAAAAAAGCTGTCACAAGTCTCTTGTGTTTATAGCACCACCTGCAGGGAAGGACGATATGCTACACTGGTTAGCATTTCTTTACCTTCATTAACAGTTCATCTGTGGTTTTGAGGTTATTTACCAACTGAAGGCATTTTTTGACCTTGAAGAAACTTAATGATGTTAATAATTACGCTACTTCCTGTTTGAGGCCCTGTTAGCTAGCAGCTAACGGCCAACAACAACAACATTAGTTCCAGTGCTGCTCCGTAAGCATCACCGATGCACTGACTTCCGTGGAGAGAAATATTTTATATAATAGTTGGAGACTCACCTTCACATTTGTGGGAGGTTTCGCTCTGGCGGTGACCAGCGGGGCATTTACATTCATAAGATCCCACCGTGTTGATGCAGTTTCCTCCGGCACACATGTTTGGCACCGCCTGGCACTCGTCCACATCTGAGAGGAGGGAAGACAACAGGAAAAAATGGTGGTTTTTAGAAACCTGACACCTTGTGGTGGTAAACAGCAAAGAGATCTTTGGATCCTGCATCATGTTTTATGACCTTTGGCTCCAGTTTGTGCCACGTGTTCCTGGATCAATTACTTTTGACTAATTGGGAAATTGCGTCCACGTACTGTCGTCCCAGCTGGAGCAGAAACAGGAACAGAGGAATATTCCGAACTCTGGAAGAATGTGTGGCTGTATTGATGGGGCGGCGGCGATGACAGGTTCAAACAATTGGTTAAGTGCGTGGATTAAGTCTGTCAGCACCGACGGATGCTCTCATACGAAGGAATGATACCAGATCGTCTTCAGACTGCAGTTCGTTCTGAGCTGCCAAGGACGGAGCAAGTGATTCTGTTCGGCCGACGTTGGTGGATTTATCACCGTTCACCCAACAGGACGGTTCTCTTGAACCGGACATGTGCGGCAGGTGATTAGCGATGCAGGAACTGCTATTAACTTGGCCCTGGTTGAGATGTGTCAAACCAGCGTAAGACCAGTTCCAGGAAGACTTTTTTGTTTGAACAGGAAATGGCATTTTTTATATGAAGACTTTCCCAGAATGAAGTGTGAGTCATTTTTTCCAGTAACGGCGAGATGACAGTTATGTCCATGTTCTTAGAAATATTGTCCTTCTAATCTCCACACACACACAACCAAGAGACACACAAGAAAAGCTAGAAAGTTTTTTGGTTAGAGACACACAACAAAAGCTAGAAAGTTGGGGTTTTTTGTATGTGAAACACATCGACCACAACCATACAAACAACCAGCTAATAATTATTGAACCGATTTTTTTTTTTTACACTTGTTTTGAGGAGTGGATGAATATGCTAATGTCGGGGAACTCGACGTGTTCCAAACAGTGGAAAAGCAGAAAAGTGGACTGGCCCACATCCTGCTGTGGAGCCTGGAGTTGAGATCCTTACATTTGGATTCATGGTCATGTGTTCTTTGTACCACGGCCAGTGAGACTGCGCTCTAGGCTTTCTGGCAACTCCCTGTGTGTCTTTTGAATGTTTGGATAAAGGAGAGAAAGAGAAGAAGAAGAAGCAAAGACAGAAAAAGGACAGGGACATGAAGACAGCAGGTGATGAGGAATGTGACTGGAGATAAAAGACTGACGAACCTCTGACGATCGAAAGTTAGCTTAGTTAAATCCATGTCTTGGATTTTCAACAACAACTAACTGCTTCCATTGAGTCAGTGGTTTTTAAACCTGGCTCAAACCCTGTTTCTGTGTATGAACTCGTGGTGTGGTGAAGTCTGACCTTGACAGGCTCCGGTGCGGATGTTGGGGATGAATCCTCGTCTGCAGGGGTGTGGCTGGGCGGGGCACTGCTCACAGGGGTGACCCCATGCTCGACCAATGGTGGCGCAACACAGTGTTTTGGTGCAAACGATCCCACTGATCTGGCCCTGGCACATCTGGTTGTTGACCTGGGTGAAACAGGGTCCAGTCCTGTAGTCTGTGGATCAAAGCAGACGCGTTACATCCTTTTGTTACTTCACTCCTTTAGTGTCATTCACATGACAGGAGGATAATTATTATTTTGCCTAAAAACTCATCTGGTGTAGCTTTAAATTAAACCAGACACATAATCACATAAAGAAGAAAAATCCTCTTTCGGCTCTGGCTCTGTTTTCCAAACAGATCTCTTTCTCAAAGAGTAAGAGTGATAAAAAAAAAAAACATGGCACTAGTCATGAGATGATTTTAGAGCGATGACTCATCGGACCTTTAAACACATCCTTTCAGTTTATTGGTTTCAAGTGTTCAGTCTTTTGATCAGCGTTCAGCGAACAGAGAGGAGCCTCAACAAGTAGGAAGTTTGACCAAGACTTAAGAGGAACAATATGGGAGTTGGTAGCACCGTACAGTGTTCTTCCACCGCACCAGAGAGTGGACGCTACCTGCTCAGATTAACCCTCGGTTTGATCCAGATGGTAGCCAGAACTCTGACGTCATTTTTTGGGGGGGGTCAGACTTCATGCCTAGATACGGTGAAATCTGCCCAGCAACTAAACCTTTCTTACTTTCATTTGTCAACAAAACGGGGGGGTCAGACTTCATGCCTAGATACAGTGAAATCTGCCCAGCAACTAAACCCTTATAGTCACCAATGCCCTTACTGTCCTAGGAAAAAGTTGGTCCATATCCTATGGCCCCTTACTGTCCTAGGAAAAAGTTGGTCCACGCAGCCGTATCTGTATCTCCCTGTTTATCAGCTGTAGATCTGTGACCGCAGTTGCAGTTTTTTTTGTTTGTTTTTTTTTGGCGCTAACCACAGACAAATCCAGGGACAAGAGGGCCCTTGTTGAGAGGAGAAAATGTCACTGACTGAAACCAGTCTCATATGAAGGATGTTTGTATGTATTTATTTATTTATTTATTTATTTGTTGAACTCTTTCCTCAGAGCAAATGTGACCCAGCTGTTTCATTAGAAGCAGTGCCAGGTGTCTGGCATCAAACATTATAAAAGAACAAAATGACTGGTTTATGTTAAGGTTCTGAAACGCCAACTTCTCTTTCACCAGCGGTCCCCTCTGATCAGGCAGGACAGAGGGGACCGGTCCTCTAACCATTTGTTGACAGATTAAAAAGTTGAGTGTCTACATCAAAAACTTCTTTCACGCAGATTAAAAATGAGCGAAAGATAATGAGCGCAAAATGTTCCAGGTTTTCAGAAATCATTCCCGCCTGTGAACCCCAGGTTTAATCTCGTTCGATGCTTACTTCACAAATCAGATACAGTGACCTTATGCTGTTGTCATTTCTCAAGAATACGTCATTTGACTTTTCAATCAAACGCAGCCAAATGATGAATTCCCTTGTGGAGGAAAAGAAAACAAAAAAACGCCCCAATTCTGTTCTCTTCTGCTGGGCCAAAAAGAAAGAGCCTTCATTGAAAATAAAGATCGTGAAGATGAAAGTGTTTGGTTGATTCGTCGAGGCAGATCATCAACCTGTTAACATCGGAAGAACAGGGTAGAACAAAGAGGAGGAACTAAGATCAACAAAGGAGAAATGATGTGAGAGTTTTGTTGTCAACCATCGTTGTCCTCCAATATCAAAAGGGAAACTCCTTATTCTACAGTCAGCAAGATAACTGTGAGTTAATATATGACCACGGTTGATGAGCAGCTCAGATATCTGTCCGTGTAACAGGTGCGACGGCGCCCATCTGTACGGAGCGTGTATTCAAATTCAAAGACACGTGCGATCGGGGCAACAGGAACACGACCCAGCGTTCTGACTCAGTCTGGATAACAACATTAGGAAGCAATTTGGTCTCATTAGGGTTTGAATTGCTTTGTTGATGAAGAACATTCTCCATCCTTTACCCCCCAGTCAAATGTTAGCCATCATAAGATTGGTGTTATTCAGATTTACTTAGCATGTACTCCATACTTAAAACAAAAATACTTTTACTACATCTGTACTGCCTTCAGTAAAAACTGATTCCCTCAAACCTTTCACCCAGATCAGACGTATTGACCGGCTGTCTGTCGCCCAACGTTACGCTGATCTGAGCGTTCACATATGCTAACGCTCCTGTCGTCCAGCCGAGACCACATGTGATATGTGAAATATCCAGCAGAGGACTGTGTTTCCTCCATCAAAGCCTTTCACTGTTTGCTTTAATGAGCTCTGGGTCAAAGACAGACGAACTAACTCTCCAAAGACTAAGTTTAGAAAATATTTAATCCCGTCTGGAACGTTGTGTCTTAAGAAAAGTTTTTTTTTTTTTCCCTCTCTCGTCAGTCGTAGCATACTGTGAGTTCACAGATCTGTACGAGGCTGTGATTGGTCCGCTGGGAGGAGAGGCGAAAAAAAAAGTGTTTAAAAACAATGAAAAAAAAAAAAAAAAAGGACTCATTAATAAGAGCTGAAGTATTTATAAAGTTCCCAGGAGGAAAAGGTTCTGGGAAGATCAGACACTTGAAATGTGACCCCGTTACATGGAAATTATTTCTAAATATACTCTTATAACTATGGCAAGAGGTGAAGAGGTCAAATGAGTCGGGTCACGAAATATATGTCAAGAACAACCTCTATGTACACAGTGTGTGTGTGTGTGTATGTGTGTGTGTATGGGCGGGCGGCCTCCATCTTGGCCCGCTGCGGCGGTCTCTGTTAGTCCTATCAGTGCCATTATCAACAGGCCTGAAATCTCCCCTTTCCTTCAGACCTAATCAGTCCTCCAGGAGTCGACTACTTTCCTTCATTCCACACCAAGAGCAGCCAGTCAAACGTGACCGAACGTTAAACACACACACACTCACTCACACACACTTACATGGCCAAAAACTGTGGGAGAATGGCAACTGGAGAGATAAGACTCCTGAAACCAACCGAAGGGCTGGAACCTTCAGGAAACTGTCGAGGCTGGGAAACTCTCACACACTCAGCAGCCATGAGTGTGTGGACACGGCTTTGTTAGAGACGCTTGGACCGTGGAAAACACACTCTCCCTTAATGGCAACCGTGTTACATACAGGATGTAAAGTAAAAGTGAGGCGGAGAGAGTTTGGTTGAATGAGCCTAAAGTTGTAGAAGTGAAGGAAAGGGTGGAGACGAGTGTCAGGGCTGATCTGGGACCAGGTTAAAAACTGTGACATCATCGTGGTTAGAGCAAGAAGTTTGAATCTGAATATAATCGTTAGGACAGCCATTTTGATATTTGAATGATTTTTCCTATAAACTCCTGGGAAACAAAATGATGTGAGACGACCCCAAAAAAAACAAAAACTCTTGTGACCCACCTGAGGGTCGCGACCCAGTCTTTGGGCTACAATGCACTAGGGCACTCACCACATAATGATGTGAGATGACCCAAAAAAAAACTTT